ATTGCCTCACCAGGACTCCTATTTTGTTGTTAAGTGCAGTTTAGTTGATTCGAACTCATTATATAGAGTTTCCAAGGAGCAACTGGTGTGTTTGAACTGCTGACCTTGTGGGGATTCCTGTGTTGTTATTAAAGTGCTGTTGAGACGGTTCCAACCTATAACAACCCTGTATAGGGTTTCCTAGGTATGACTGGTGTAAAATTGCCTCATACCATGTCTTACTCTTAAAGAGAAGCTATTGGGTTCAAACTTTCAGGGATTACAGTGCATAGTTTAATAACTGAATGAGCAAAAGACTAGGAGAAAGACTAGGATAAGTTGAGTTTTAAGTTGTAGGTATATAATTTATCTGGCATAGTGTCAGGGATTTATTTTTTAAATACATTTAAAAACAAATAAAGTAATATAGTAAGGTCACCACACTCCCAAAAGGAGAGGTATAGATAAAAAACTTTGTTTCGTATTCAGTAAATCTAAATCACAGCTGTGAAATAAATGGGGGAAATGTTTTATTAAATCCTACTTTTGAATTTCTCTATTGTCGTGCTGTTTCATGAGCAGTGGACTGCAAGTTTGGTTTGAATCGCAAGGTCAGTGGGTAAAACTCACCATCCACTCGTTGGAAATCCTATTCAAGGTCACTATGAGTCAGAACTGACTCGATGGCTCTTAAAAACAACCACCATAATTAAAGTATAGTCACTATTATGATATTAACTGTCACTGGTATCAGTACTTTTCATTAATAGTCTTGGCCATTGGCAATGATGGTAACAGGTAATTTTTCTATGTTTGTGTTTAATTCATAAGGTATTTTGTATTTCATTAATTATAGATATTATTGTTGTTGTTAAGTGCTGTCAAGTCAATTCCGACTCATAGCGACCCTATACAGGATTTCTGAGGCTGTATATCTTTATGGGAGCAGAAAGCCTCATCTTTCTCTCGTGGAACAGCTGGTAGTTTTGAACTGCTGACCTTAAGGTTCGCAGCCCAATTCGTAACCACCACGCTACCAGAGCTCCTTAGATGTTATTGTTGTTGTTGTTGTTGTTAAGTGCCATCAAGTAGAAGATATTGTTATTAGGTGACGTTAAATCAGTTCCAACTCAATTGAATTGGACCTGATGTGATAGAGGTGAACTGCTTCATAGAGTTTCCAAGGCTTTAAATATGTCAACAGATTTCTCCGATGGAACAGCTGGTTGATCCGAACCACAGATCTTCCACCAAAAAAATCTTTAGACTAATTTGAGTAAAGTAATAGGAAAAGGGAGATTAGAGTAGAGTTGTTTTTGAGTGCTGTTGAGTTGGTTCCTACTCATTGCAACCCTGTATAGGGTTTCCAAGGAGCAGCTGGGTTTGAACCACCAACCTAGCATTTCAAACCACCCTTGTGGTCCAGGACATTATCATGCAGCACCACAACAGGACTCCAGAGTAGAGTAATAGAGAGGTTATCTTGGGAGATGTGTATGAAGTCTATGTTATAGGGTGATTAGCCTAAGGAGCTCTGGTAGCGTAGTGGTTATGAATCGGGCTGCGAACCTCACGGTCGGCAGTTTGAAACTACCAGCTGGTCCATGGAAGAAAGATGAGGCTTTCTACTCCCATAAAGATTTGCGGCCTCCGAAACCTCACTATGAGTCGGAACTGACTCCATGGTACTTAACAACAACAACAACAGCCTAATGAAGTAGGAGAAAGAATACCCAGACCTTGATGTGAGTGATGTAGATGAAAATGCTTGAGAAAACTGAAGAATGGAATAAACACCTGAGAGGCATCTTTAACTTCTGTGGGCCTTAAAGAAAAAAGTGTGGTGTCCTAGAAAAAGCACTTGACCTCAAGGTTGATGGCTCAAACTCACAAGATACTATGAAGGGCTGTAAAGTAGGAACCAACTGGCTTGCACTTAACAACTACAACAATGGTAGAAATTACCACCTATGTGTCAATTTGTCATCCTCCAATGGTATGCATGTTGTTGTGATGCTGGAAAGTAGGTAACTTAAATAGTCTTGTTGTTAAGTGTCACCGAGTCAGTTCCAACTCATAGTGACTCTATATAGAGTTTCTAAAGAGAGGCTGGTGGATTTGAACCACCACCCTTGTGGTTCAAATTGACCTGGCTATCCAGTGTTTATTCTACAGCGCAACACCAAGACTCCTACATTGTATATTTAACATTTATAATCAGATCCTGAAAACTGATGTGGACACTCTGCTAAAATTTTTTACCATAATAGTATTAACTATATGCCTTTAATTACTTTTCTGCCAGTGACAATATGTTTTGAAATGAAATCAAACAAAAAACTAGCTTATGGAGGTTATGATATTCTGTAGAGCAGTACTGTGTAGTAGAAACATGATGTGGGCCACATGCTATATGTAATTCTAAATTTTCTAGTTGTTGTTGTTGTTGTTAAGTGCCGTCGAGTCGGTTTCGACCCATAGCGACCCTGTACAGGGTTTCCGAGGGTGTAAATCTTTACGGGAGTAGAAAGCCTGATCTTTCTCCCGCGGAGCAGCTGGTAGTTTCGAACCGCTGACCTTAAGGTTCACAGCCCGATTCGTAACCACTACGCTACCAGAGCTCCTTAAATTTTCTAGTAGCCACATTAAAAAAAGAAACAGCTTGAATTAATATATATTATTGTTGTTGTTAAGTGCCATCGAGTCGGTTCCGACCCATAGCGACCCTATACAGGGTTTCCGAGGGTGTAAATCTTTACGGGAGTAGAAAGCCTCATCTTTCTCCCGCGGAGCGGCTGGTAGTTTCGAACCGCTGACCTTAAGGTTCACAGCCCGATTCGTAACCACTACGCTACCAGAGCTCCTTAATATATATTATTAGACCCAATATATTCAAAATAGTAATTTTTAACATGTAATCAATATAGCAATCTCTCATGCTGCCTCATTCTTCTCTGTTTTTATTATTGGGGTTCCTCATGATTTAATTATTTTCCTTCTTCTCATTTATATTCTTTCCATCAGCACCATTGCCCCCTTTAGATGGCTTCAGTTTTCACCCAGATAATTGGTATAGTCAACTTAACATCTTCATTGGCACTAAGCTCATCATGTCCAAACTAGGTCTCATAGTCTTAACTCCTCGACTGCCTCACCTGCTTCCTCCTGCCAAAAAATGAAACCTCTGATTAATTTTCCACTCATTTCTAGTAATCCTGTCCCAAAGAGAACATCTATCTATACAGTTCCACTGCCTAGGAGAATTAAGTTATAGTTATCTGTTCTGTGTCTCTCACTTTTACAGCTAACCCAGCACCCATTCCATTTTTAGCCTTTAATTATACCTTATGGCAGATCATTCTCTCCCTCTCTACCACCAGAAACCCAGCTCAAGCTGTCATTCTTCTCTCTCATCTCTTACTAGAAGCCCTCTTGAGTAATCCCACTACTTAGATCTCACCTTTCTTCCAGGCTGTTCTGATGCTAGAGTAATGTTTTCTAGACAAATTTTTATTCTCTGAAAACTTTTTTTGGAGGGGGAGGGGGCACATCTCATTACTTAAAAAACAAATTATTTGGCATAAGACCCTATCTCCTTACAGCCTCATTTCCTGTTCACCCTCTCCCTATATACTCCACTCATGCAGAGTTCCTTACAAGTCGTTCAAGCTCACTCTACTCCTTTCAATTCAGGGTTCTGCACTTTTACTTTTTCCTGTCACACCCTCTCCTTACTCTCCTCCTGCTTAACACTCATCCTTAAGATCTTATTTTAATCCATTTATGTTCGGAAGCCTTCTCTAATTTACAAATAGCACCATGATAGGCAGCACCATGCCTTCATAGCACTCGATCACTAGTAGAACATAGTAGATATTGAGGTTGGTCCACGATCGGGCACTGTTTCGTTCTGCTGTACATAACGTCGCTATGGGTCGGTACCGACTCAATGGCACCTAACAACAACAATAAGGTAATGGTTATTCAAGCTAAATGTTAGAATCATCAGCTTTTCAGTAACAAAGTTATTAATTTGAGGAAATGTAAGATAACTATCTGGAGTCTTGGTGAGGCACTCACTGTAGGATAAGCACTGGGGGCTTCTAAAAATTCCTGGGAAAATATCTCGTAACTCCATTTTTTTACAGACTTTTAAAAGCCTTCTCATATTTAGGAATATTGCTTATTTCTGTTTTAATATTTATGCAGTTACCTTTTTTTAAGGTTATACTTTATTCACAATATTACTATTAGAAAATTTTTTTTGTAGCTAAAATTATCTAAAACTGAAAGTCTTTTTTACATCAATTTTTACTTCCCTTGATTGGCACAGTAGTTAAAAATGCTCTCCAGCTAACCTAAAGGTTGGTAGTTCAAACCTATCAGCTTCTCTGTGGGAGAAAGATGAGGCAGTTTGCTTTTATAATGATTTACGTCTTGGAAATCCTATGGGACAGTTCTACTCTGGAATCTAGAGGCACTGTGACTGGAAATTGACTTGATGACAGTGGGTTTGGTTTTGGTGGGTTGATTATAAAACTGGAGGAAGGTCCTCTTTGAGTTTCAGTCAAAAAATGTTTCACTCAGAAAATATCTTCCAGGATGTTCCCTACCATTGAATATTTACCAAGTTGACTGTGTTAATTGGTATGAGAAATTGTTGTAACTAACCTCTTAAAAACTTAGGTCTTAGAAGTTGTTTCATATATTTTCTTATTTGCTCATCCCCAAACCCAGTATGGGTAGGTATTAGAAGAAACTGAGACACGAACATTAAGAGGCTTTTCTGTAATCATTAAAATATCCAGTTCCTGTTACAATTTTCACACCCTAATTCTCATTCTTTAAACCTTAATGCTGTTTCCCCTGTGTCATGTGCTTTTCATTGTATGTATAAAGCAATCAGAAGGTACTTAAATGGATTCTAGTAAGTTATAAGGAAACTTTTATAAAATATCCCTTCTGCTAAGATAGTTTCATACTTTAATTACTTAGAAAGTTATTTTAAATTTTTCTTGTAGGAATCTTCAGAAATTTAGTCTTTTTGGAGACATAAGTGTTCTACAACAGCAAGGAAGTTTGTCAAACACATACCTCAGCAAGGTGGACCCTGATGGCAAAAAAATTAAACAGTAAGTTAAAAATTAGTAGAAACGTGCTAATTCTAATAATGATTTTCATATTTCCTGAATCCTCCGAGAAACTGTTAAGACTCAGTCAAAAAAATACTTTTTTTTTTTTTCTAAGAACATTTGTCTTGGAAATGTTTTAACTGTGAAATATGGTGATCTGCATAATGCCATTCTATGTCTTAAGTCTTTAAAGACAAATCAAAGAACTTGATGGATAATTATTGCTATTTAAAGTTGTTATTGTTGGAGTCCCGGTGTGGCGCTACTGTAGAATAAGCACTTGACTGCTAACCACAAAGTCAGCAGTTCAAACTCACCAGCCACTCTTTGGAAACCCTACAGAGGGTCCCTATGTGTCAGAACCACCTCCACAGCACTTAACAACAACAAAGTTATTTATTTACTTGTCTTTTTGACACATAAATTACATGTCATCAGTCTTCTCTACCATATTTATGTAAAATGCCGCTTTCCTTGTATGAAACACATAGTTAAAACACCCATATGTATATATGTACCGTATTCATTATATGTTCAGGTGAATTTTAATGATATTTGTGATAATTACTCCTGGGCTGAATAGAAATTAACTAACTAATGAAAGAAAATGGTTCTCAACATTGCATGCCATTCATTGTGTATTTTCAAAAGTCAGTGTTAAATGATTAGTGTTAATTGCTAATGGGATCGTGTGGCATGTGTTTTCCGTACAGAATTCAGCAGCTGTTTGAAGAAATACTGAGTAATAGTAGGCAACTAAAGTGGCTATCCTGTGGATTTATGCTGGAAATAGTAACCCCAACATCACTGTCATCTCTCTCAAATTCTATTGCCAACACCATGGAGCACCTGAGTTTACTGGACAACAACATTCCTGGTAACAGCACTCTCATTACTGCAGTTGAACTGGAGCGATTTGTGAATCTGCGCTCACTTGCCCTGGATTTCTGTGACTTCACGGCTCAGATGGCAAGAGTTTTAACCGATAACAACCATGTGCCTTTGCAGCGACTCTCTCTCCTGGTCCACAATGTTTCGGTGATGCACAAGTCTCTGGACAATATGCCAAACGATGAGCACTGGAAAGCCATGTCACGAAAGAGCACCAGCCTTCGGGTTTACATAATGGCTTTTGATATCAAGAGTGAAGATATGTTAAAGATTCTGAAACCAAGTATACCACTAGAGAGGATTCATTTTGACAGCTACATTACTTGTGTTTCAGGGGCTATTGTTGATCTTATATCCAGGCAGTATGACAAGTTCCTCACTCATTTTATATTAATGAATGATGTGATTGACACATCTGGTTTTCCAGATCTTAGTGACAACCGGAATGAAGATCCATTGGTTTTATTAGCATGGAGGTGCACAAAGCTTTCTCTTCTGGCAGTTCATGGTAGGTCATCTCTGTTTGCTATTATTTGATATTTGTCTTATGCTGTGGTGCTGTAGGATAAGTACTGGACTGCTAACTGAAAGGTTGGAAATTCACATTCACCATTTACTTCTTGGAAACCCTATACCGGGTCACTGTGAGTTGGAACTGACTCGATGGCACTTACCACCACCACCACCAGTAAAAAGATGGCACTGACCTTCAGAGTGTCAAGGAATCCTACAAAAACTTGATATACTTTTCCTTCTTAACATTTCTAGGTGCCAAAATATTAATTTATATGACTTTTTTTCAATGATAATTCTGCTAGGTAGGCAATATTTGTTTCTTAACTGGGACATTTCATCTTAATGTGAACTATGGAGTTGCTATCCTGACTAATTAGAGAAACATTTTACTTCCTTTCTAGTTCTTATTAACAATTACAGGATACAAAATTAGTCTATATGAATGCCTAAAACTAGTTTTATTAGCTCCCTTTCATTATTTTTGTAGCCTGCGGTTGTATGTAGTAATGTATCTTGCTTTTCAAGTCTTCCTTTATAATTTGGTCAGTCGTTTTCAGCAAAGAGTAGACCAATATTCCAAATAGCAAGTAAAATGGGAGTTTTATAAAGAATTTTTAAATGCCAAATTTTTAAAAGTTATTTTATACCAGTCTTTGAGAAGACTTGTTTCCATCTTTTAAGATACAAAATGTTAAACAGATACAGAGGCTGAACAGATATGGGAGGAAGAGTGGGAATGTGTCCACGAATATATAAAGGTTTGACAGAGGGTATTGGTACATAGCTATTTATTTACCTTTGTGGCAAACATAGGTAAATCACTCATGAGTGTGGTAGAGCATCCAGGGGGCAAAAGTATGAACACTTGTTGTTGTTAAGTGTTGTTGAGTTGGTTTCAACTCATAGTAACCATATGCACAACAGAACAAAACACTACCCACTGCTGCTGCCACTGTGCCAGTCCATCTCTTTGGGGGACTTCCTCTTTTTCAATATCCCTGCATTTTACCAAGCATGATGTCTTTATCTCCTGATAACATATCCAAAGTATGGAAAGTAGATTTTATTATTATACATTACCAAATACGTTGAGGGAATGAATTGCTGGGCTTGTGGGCTCCGGGCTATAGTCTCAGGGAACACCATAGTCAATTGACATAGTTCACTAAGATAATATTCTACATCTTCCTTTGGTGAATAGTGACTGGGGTCTTAAAAACTCATGAGTGGCCGTCTAAGATTCAACTGTTCGTCTGTCCCTTTGGAAAGAAAAAAGACTGATGAAAACTGAAGATACTTGAAATCAGTCCTGTGGACTAATGGAACATGTGAACATCAGTTTCTACAACTTTGAGTCCAAAAGGTCTAGATGGTTCCTTACTAACACTACCTACTGTTCTGAAAGGGATCATATTAGAAAGTCCTGGATAGAATGGGAGAAAATGTGGGAAAATATTTAAAATTATAAAAAATGCCAGTCTTACTGGTCAGAGACAAAAGGAACCCAAGACTGTTTGGACGTTGGTCCCCCTTCAGGCCTGAAACTGAACTCACCCTTGTGGCTTAATTAGCTGTATAGGGGGAGAGCAACACCAGTGAGGTTTGCACACCACAGGATTGTAAGTCATTCAAGATCAAAAGGGCAGCACTTACCTAAGGACAAAATTCAAAAGGGAAAGAAGGAGAAATGGAAACAATCCCAGGGAGGAAGTGGAATAACTGATGTTACAGGGAGGGAGTTGCAATCACCTAATGAAATGAAGCATATGCTTTGTTGAATATAAAACTGACAACCTGCTCTGTAGACCACTCAATTCACAATAAAATGTTATATTAAAAAAAAGAAAAAAAAAAAGAAACATTAGATACAAGAGAAGCTTCAAAAAGTGGTGGGAAAATGGAATTTCAAAATAATGTATGTAATGGAGGCAGAGATGATGACATGGAAAGATGGAGCAGTTGGGGACTTTAGACACAGACAGGGAGAAGGACTGTGTGCTGACAACTGGGGGGTGGGTGGGGGCAGGCTTGTAGTGTATAGCCTTTGGTTGGTTGATGATGCATGACAGGGATTGTAACCATGGCAATGAAACGATATACAATAGGATGAATGTAAAACTAATGTTCTCCCATGTAAACTATCACATAATTCACAATAAAACATTAATAATAATAATAATAATGGAATTATTCCACAAACATTCTGAATCCCCTTCATGTAGCTAACATCTCTATTCCTTCCTTCCTTTCCTTTACAAAAGTAACCATTTTTCTAAAACTAGTACATTTTAATCCCATGACTGTTTTAAACTTTATATATTTATTACCAACAACTAATAGTTTGTCTTTCAAGATTAAAGAGTCATTTCATAACTTCAGAATAGGAAAAATAATAGGGGATTTTTTTACAAAAGGAAAATACCTGTTTGTAAATAGATACACCAGGGGTGGGGGTGGGGGTGCTTCAAAAAGTTCGTGGAAAAAATAGAATTAAAAGATCGTGAAATTTTTCCATGAATTTTTTAAACCCCTGTCATATAGATGAAGCAAAAATTTGTTCCTTATGATATGATCAGTATCCAGAGTTATAAAATTAGACTTCACACTTTGTCTTCTATTTGATAATGCAGTGGTGACATAACAGAATTACATCACCTACTGATTCACCACCCACAGTGGTTTTTTAGAAAACAGTATCAGACTTTTAACCCTTTTTTTTTTTTTTTTCCCTCAACTACACAATAATATTTTCTTTTCTAAACTCAGTATAAGGAGCTCTGGTAGCGTAGTGGTTACGAATCGGGCTGCGAACCGCAAGGTCGGCAGTTCGAAACTACCAGCTGTTCCGCGGGAGAAAGATGAGGCTTTCTGCTCCCGTAAAGATTTACAGCCTCGGAAACCCTGTATAGGGTCGCTATGAGTCGGAACCGACTCCACGGCACATAACAACAACAACAACAACAAACTCAGTATATTTTTAAAGGAAAAGGAACAAAGTGTTAAAGTGTGATAAAAATTTAAAGATTCTCAAGAAGCATTGACTAAGGATAAGAATAATTTGTCAAGTAGGAAAAATGCAAAGAAGTGAGTTGCTTGTCTTATTTTGCAGGTTACACAGTTTGGGCACACAACCTCATTGCCATTGCTCGTCTCCGTGGCCCCGATCTAAAAGTGCTTGAAGTCACTGAAGAAAGCATTGATTTTGACCAAGGCGAACTGGCCGACCAGGACGTGGATCCAGTGCATAACCTTATTGAGCAAGTATCCCTGGGCCTGGGCCAACCCTGGCACGCAGTCATGGACATCGAATCACTCAGTGTCTTCACTGAACCAAATCGTCATTTTTATAGAGAAATGCAAAGCTTCAGCGAAGGCATTTAGCTTTTTTTTAAATGTACACTTCCTGTGGTTACATATGCAAGTAGGGTCCTATTATGTTTTTTTCCAGTAGTGTGAATTAAACCCTTTGTGCTGTGTTTAATCAGTATTAGCTTTATAGAATTATATATGTATATTCTACTTCTTGATCAAAGAACGTAGTCGGGTATTGGTTTAGAAGTTCAAAGTGACACTGTATAGGGCTTTCACGGTTAATGAACTTGTTACCAAACCTTAAGGTTATACAACCGAAGGTTGTCTGAGGTTGCTGGCTAACTTTATTTTTCACTGAGTTACTCTGCCTTTTTGATGTTTTTTTTTTGTGCGTCAGAGTTCAGAGCTCAGGAGCCAAATTATTTTTATACATATAGAGATATTTATCCATAGCCTGGTGGATTTATCTGCAGTGCATTACATTCATGCATTCTGATGGCATTTCATTAATTTGGATTTGAAGTGAATGAAGGGAGGATAATTTGGTCCCAAATGAGTTACGTTTAACAGAAAAGCCAAGATTTTAACTTTCATTGCACATATAATATAGTCATGATGTCACCAAGTACCATTCTGAATTTTGTACAGTATTAGGTTAGAATATTGTTTAATCCTTTTTTTTTTTAATGCATTTACATAAACATGAAAACTCAAATTGTTGAATTTTTTTAAAAAACAATATCCAACTTAATTTTCTTCATCAGTTACATTATACACTCAAGTTAGCTTTTTAACCCAGATTTTAAAATAGTGGAAGAAGAAAGAAACTGTATTCCAGGGTAAAACCTCCAAAAAAGAAAGCCAGAACAGACATACTTTCAAACATTAGTCGTGAAATCCCTAGCAACAAGTCACTGGATTTTTCTCTGTCAGCGCGCGTGTCAGCTGCCAAAGAATAGACTTAAATGAAGAAGTGCCCACATGCTGGCAGGGGCCGGCCCACTCTGGCCAGCCAGATACTGCTAGATTGTAATATTTAAGGTCGATTTTCGACCTGTGGTACACAGCTGTGCTGTGGCTCAGTCAGCAACCTCAGAACTCTGAAAAAAAAAAAAAAAAAAAATACCATGCACCTGTTTCACTGTGAATAGTGAATGTAAAGGAAAGAAAGGAAAAACTGAAAGCTTGTTCTATCACAGGTATGAGCTGCTATGATACATGAAGAACATTCCATGAAGTATGTTTTAAAACCTTGTTATATCTGAGAGGCTTTAAAAGCCTATTTAACTGTTTCAGGGCAACCGCGGTACAGACGTGGTCTCTGTGAGACTTCCACCTGACCCAAGTTTTAAATGGTACGAATGTTGTGCATTTAACGTTAAAGGACAGTCTGCAATAATAAAGTAAGTAGCCAACGTGGGTGCCCAGCAGTGCTGAGACCTGGCTGCTCTATTGTAAGCTTTGGAAACACAATTTATGCAACAGATGTCCAGATATGATTCTATTTATGGAAAAAGTTTATATATGTTTTACAAATGGTTTTACCATCTTATATAAAAATGACCTTTTGACAGGTGTGCACTGTTTTGTCTCCAGTGAGCACATACCATGCGGATTTTATATGTACATCAGTAGTGTGAATCCACTGGCACAGTGTGTGTAAATGCCAGATGTGGTGAGATTTTATCATATAAATGTGATCAGATAAAATAAATCCTGACAGAAACTCTAAGGAATCCAGCTGAATGTTTGACCTGATGACTGATGTTGTATGGTTTATGTTAAATGTATATTCTTTTAATCAATGAATAAAGCATTAAAAAGTGATCATTGTAATATATTTTATTGTATATGAAGCATGAAAACTTTTAGTACTAAATAAAATGAAACAATCCTTATATTGTGTATAATCATATGTTAGCTTCTATTCTAGTGCAGCAGAGCTTAAATTTGGGAATACATTATAGAAAAGATTCTTCAGCATAAGGGTTTTGAGAGTTTTTTTGGGTGTTTTTAAAAATCACTTTGGAAAGATGCACATACATGCTTAAAGGCAAACATTAGGCTTATTAGCACCAAATCTTCATATATCATGCACTTAAAATGTATTACTACTACAATCAAACTTGCTTTATAAACTGTGTTGTTAAGAGCTGTCATGTTGGTTCTGACTCACAGTGACCCTGTACAGGGCTTCCAAGGCTTGAAATCTTTACAGGAGCAAAAAGTCTTTCTCCTGTGGAACTACTGTTGGGCTGCTCACACTGCTTTGTGGTTCATAGTACAGTGTTTATCTTATGTCCTGGGCCACTGCACTCCTCATGTAGCATATAGAAACATCTTATAAAAACTGTTATGTTGTTATGTGCCGCCGAGTCAGTTCTGACTCATAACAGCCCTGCATAAGGTTTCTAAGGAGCTTCTTCAAGCTCTGACCTTATGGTTAACACTCCAGTGCTTATCCTACTGTGCCACACTAGGACTCTAAAAATTGCTGTAGCAGATGCAAAACTACATCCGATGTACCATTATTAAATAGGCCATAAACCCCTTCCTGTTGTAATCTCCACTCTTGGTTGGTGAGACAAACACTTCTCATTTATGCCTTCCTTTCCTGCTTCCATTTTTCCTTCCTTAATCATTCAGGCATGGACTCATCTCGGAATCTCCGGGGGTTTACAGGGAACTGTCATTGTAGCTAATGCTTCCTTATTTCACAGATATATCTAACTCCTTTGAATCAATGTATTTATATATTTAAAATATAAAAATAATACCCAAAATTCATGAAAAAAGAAAGTCTATTAATATATATGCTAACATGCCAGTAAAGGTTGGTGTCATAAAGCACTGCACTGGAAGGCTCAATATCTGTTTTCTAATCTAAGCTCTGGCCTCAAGCTACTTGAGCGTAAACGTAACCAAATCTAATCCCTTAGTTCACAGATGAAGAAACTGAATTTCAAGGTTATCAAAAACTGATTCTTCATTGAAATTTCCAATTATTGTTAGCCTAACAGCTCATGGACACACAGGATCACCTTTGCACAAATGTACTGAATAAAATATTTTCAAAAGATAGCTTACTAAACTATGAAATTTACATACCTCAAATTATTTTCCTGTTTCTCCTACCATCCTAGGAATAAAGAACTTGGGAAGTTGGTGGGGTGGTGGGGCTGGTGAGGAACGGTGTGCTTAACAGTTGAAAGCATATATGAAGAATACAGTTTGCTTGGACTTTATGAAATCAATATCGTAAAATGGTGCTAAGGCAGTAACACAGCAGGTGTGAATAATATCTAATGATGTACCATCTAGTGCTTCCCAACTTTTTTCACATTCTAGCACAAAAAATTATTGTATAGCATACTAGTATAAACTAGAGGGAATTGGAGAAAATGGTAAGATTTGGGGAGATAAATTTATAGAGAACTTACAGATGTTTTCATTGAGACTGTTCAGAATTTGAGTATTGTCATAGAGGAAGGAGAAACACCTCAAAAGCAAGTAATAACTTCTAAACATTTTTTTCCCTTCACTGTTCAAAAATTAATGCAGTTGAAATTATATTTTAAAATCTAAATAGCTCTTACCTTTTTTTGATAAATGCAATATTGAGATTTCTTGTTATGATATAAATTAATTTCAAATTCAAGTGGATTTTCATTACAAATACTTCAAAATAATCTCAAATTAGTAGCTCTCCCATACTTCTTCCATACATATGTTGGGACACTATTGAAAGCACATAATCAGCCAACAACAGAAGTTTGATATGTAAAACAATTATAGGCTGATGATTGGAGCTGCACCCATACCAGCTCCTGACACTCTACCCTACCCCCACTGCCCACACAGATAACACACCAAGCCCACTACACCTGGGGCTTGGCACTTGGACTTCCAACTGCTTTTTGGACACCTGGAACATAACTTCTCTAACAGCTTTGTCGTTTCCTTTATCCATGATAAACGGGAGTACTCTGCATCTGGCCGGGGAGTAGTGTGTAATTTTGCTCTCTGCCTGGGTCCACTCTGCTTTCCAAGAAGAGAGCCAGCTTCACTCTGGCTGCTTTCCAAGAAGAGACTGCTGCATGCAACAGTCAGAAGGCAGCCAGACCGGACTTCCTGCCTCCCAGCAGGGCTCATTGGGTTGCCTTAAGGATCATCTACAAAGTTCAGTTTTTGGTTGAGGGGGCAAAAAAGTGCAAGGAGCCATTGTGAATAAAATCTCAGGATACCTGAGTCAGCCTTCTCTGAAAGATTAAAAGAAATGTTTAAACAGATAAGGGCAAGATATGACCAAGTGTTGACAAAAGGGAAACACAGCTGGAACTTGCACTGGCACGCAAGTTACTAATAAGTTCCATTCCTCAGTGTGTCTGAGTCAAGTTGAAATTTGTAGGTAAGTCGGAACAGGTTCGTACAGTTCTTATTTAATAGCCTCACTTTAGCACAAGGAAAGGAGTACTGGCAGTAGTGTGTAAGCACTGGACTACTAACATAACACAAGGTTGACAGTTCAAACCCACCAACTGTTCTGCAGGAGAAAGATGAGAATTTCTGCTCCGGTAAAGGTTTACAGCCTTGGAAATCCTGCACAAGTTGCTGTATTTGAATCAAATCTATGGCAATGAGTTTGGTTTTATGAAGTTAATACAAGAAAAGTCTTGATGGAGCCTTTTCAATGATTTAAAAGCAGCATATGCACCAAGTGAAGGTGATGTTGTTGTTGTTAAGTGCTGTTGATTGTATTCCGACCCACAGCGACCCTGTATAGGGTTTCCAAAGAGCAGCTGGTGAGCTTGAACCACCGACCTTGCAGTTCAAACAACTTTGCAGTCTGACACATTAGCCCACAGTACTCCTAAGTGAAGGTAATAGTAATTAATAATTTACTGTGAGCAAAGAATGTAGTAGTTTCAAAAATCATTGTCTGGTCGGTGGCGAGGTGGCCCCACCGAAGTGGAGGAACCGGTTTCCAGAGTGCTGCAGGCGGCTGAGCAGTTCCGCTCCTATTTGGAGAGCGAGAAGCAATGGAAGGCCGGATGGAATTCATCCTGTGCTACCAGTGACTACCGACTACGGCGAACCTGCGGATGGCCATGGCTGCCTGGACCAGCTACTGTCCCTCTCCATGGTTTGGGCCAACCACCTCTTCTTGGGCTGCAGTTTGAACAAAGATCTGTTAGACAAGGTGATGGAAATGGCCAATGGAATTGAAGTGGAAGATCTGCCGCAGTTTACAGCCAGAAGTGAATTAATGAAAACGCATCAAAGCTAAGGTAGAAGACATTTACCACATTTCCAGGCTCAGAAGAGAACCTGGGATAAAGGCGACATTGATCCCAGCATCTCTCAAGACTTGTGGTATTACCAACACAAAGACAGAGAGGCAGTTGGAATGAAATGGAACCTTTCTTGATTCACTTTTTTAAAGTTCTTATTCTTCTAGAACCTACCATTGTAAAAGTATGCATGGGCAGTTTATATATTTATAAATCATGTACTCAAAGATGAGTTCATCAACATTGTGAAAGCCCTCTTGTTTTTAAATGTCAATGTAATAATGACAGGTAATTAATTTTGCAGTTTGAATTTTTCAACACAGTTCTTTTTTAAGTATGGTTATTTTATAACTCCATCCCATTCCCATCCTGCCCTAGCAAAACAGATCCTTCATTTCCTTATTTCTACCTGAAATTGATCATTGTAGGTAAAGTGGAGGGTCAGTGTAAAAGAAGACTCCGCTTTTTACGAAGATGGCGTTGAAGGCGAAGAAGGAAGGCCCTGCCCCTCCGAAAGCCGA